ACGTTATAAAAGGCGGCTACGCTCTTTCATGCATGGAAATGGTATTATATCTATAAAATGGAAATTTTGTGTTAGATATGTAAATAAACGGAATTTATGTAATTCTATTTATACCTTTAAATCATTCTAATTGAAAGAAAAATAATTCAAATCATTCAAAATAAATGGAAAAAAAAATTAGATAAAAATATTATGACCGGACATTTTATTAGAATGAATCCTAAAATAACATATATCTAATACATACAACAACAACAACGAGCCTCCCATTAAAGTAGGGTCCTCTACATGAATTTTTTTTCTCAATTGTTTCCTATTGAGTATCATATTTTCATTTAATTCTTATAAATTAAGATCATTTTTTAAACAATTTGCCCAATTATTTCTAGGCCAACATCTGTCTTTCTTAACATAATTCGAGTCTAAAACATCTAATTTCTTAACCAGACCATAGATGGTCAACACTTAATGTGACCAAATCATCTAAGACGACTCTCTCTAATTTTATCTATCACTAGAGCTACATCAACCCTATCACAAATGTATTCATTTCACATTTTGTCTCAAAGTGTAAAGCCGCTCATAGACCTAAGCATTCTCATCTCGACAAAACCTAACTTGGTTTCATGCTTCTCTTTTAAAGGCCAACATTTTGCGCCATAAAACATTGCAGGTCTCACCATTATTATATAAAATTTTCCTTTCAGTCTGAGCAAACTTTCCCATCACAAAATAAACCCAAAGCATTCCTCCACTTCAACCAACCAACTTGAATTATACTAATACCATCCCCATCCATACCACCATCACTGTGAATAATAAACCCAATATATCTAAAACATTCACACATTGTAATAATTTGACCACCCATAATTACAACTTCTGTCACTAGAGCTACGTGTCACATCTCAAAAGAGCTCTTCTCTGTGGTGGGCAGCCCATGACTTAAATACTATTTTTTGGCCCTACACCTAACCGATATGAGACTATTTATCCGTGAAATTCTTCTCCATCCAATCACGTGACGTCCTCGTCACGGATCAGCTCCACCGAGGGTCTCACTGGATCATGGAGAGTCCACACACCTGACAGACAGTAATCTGTTCTGATACCACTTGTCACCTCCCAAAAGAGCTCTTGTGGGTGGTGGACAACCCATGACTTAAATACTATTTTTTTGCCCTACAACTAGCCGATGTTGGATTATTTGTCCGTAACATACCGCTGCTAAAATTACATTCCATGTATTCAGATTTAGCTAAAGTCAAATGAAAGCTTTTAGACTCCAAAATAAACCTCCATACTTGAAAATTTTATGAGCTCTTCCTAATTTATTTATATAATAGATTTCATAACTATAATTTAATAATTTAATCTACTTGATAATCATAACAATAACAGAAAATCCTCCCACTTTTTCATTGCATTACTTTTAACAGTAAATCAAACCTTTTTGTTTAGCATCATTCCCTCATTAGTTAGCATCAAAACAGTCAGGAATCCAAATAAACAACAAGAACAACAAGAAAAAAAAAGGAGACAATACAAGACTACTTTACCCATTTTGCCCCTTATCTTCTCCACCTGCAAATAGTAGAAATAGTTTAACAAAGGCCGTATCATTCCACCCGAAACGTAACGGATATCGGCCACAAAACTAGCAGCCACGGGGAACGAAACCGACACGGCTACCGGCACCGTCGAACACTACCCGGAACCCTTGCTGCTGAATGTTTCCGATAATGGAAACCCCACTATCCGTTCCGGCGAAAGCAAAGCAGAACGTCCCCTTCGTATCAACCGGAATCAAGTAGTTCTCCGCCGGCAGAGAGATGTCGGAGCCGCCGGCGAGGTGTATCACCACCGTCGGAACCTTCACCACCGTCTTCCCCGCGAGATCATAGCATGTATCGAACAGAGAAAACCCTCCCGGAGATAATCTTAGACCAGATTCCATCGATCCAGCCTTGAACGCGTCTCGCAGAGCAGCGTAGGCTACTCTTGTAAGCCGTGTTACCGATGTGCCGGAATCGACGATCACCCCTCCTCTCCCGGTCGCCGGATCTAGGCGCAGCTCCGATCCAGTCAGTCCGGCAACCTTCGTCCCCCCTACACTCAAACCAGTCACCTCAACGTAATAGAACGTGTCCATCTTAGGATTCAGCACCATCGGCGTGAACGCCGTTAATGGCAGCTTCGCTCTCGGCATCGCCGCGTCACCAAAGACAACGGAGGATGTCTGGGAGGTAGCAGCGGCGGAGGTTGAAGATGTCCGATCAACGAGGCAGTAGGAGAAACGACGGTTGAATCTCCGTCCGGCTTGTGTAGGGCTCGGCCAAGGCCGAGGAGACCTGCGGCGGCAACGAAGAGACCTTCGTTGTCGTGGCCGCAGCCCAGCGCAATGCGGGCTACGCGAACGCCGCCGCGGAATGTTAGGGTTTCGGTTGCAAACTCGCCGGTGGTGAGAGATCCGTCGCCGTAGGAGACCTGGTAGAGGCACGAGAGACGACGAGTATCGCATCCGGCGACATCAAGGCGGTGGCAAAGATCGGCGCCACAGGGGACGACGGCGAAGGAGCTGGAGAGGTGGGGATTAAAGATGGGGTCGGATTGAGTATAGCATCGTCGGCATGGGGCGCACTGTAGCCAGACAACGTCGCTACCGGTGTCAAGAACCATGTAGGCGTATCTAGGCGGGGTTCCGATCCCGATCCGGGTGAAATACTCGCCACTGCCTTGAGCAAGACCAGAAACCACTGCGCTGCTAAAACTTCTCCGTCCGCGGTGCGTGCGATTCGCAGTGACAGGCGCCGATCCGATTGGCGCTGCCGATACTAGGGTTTCCTCAATCTTTGATACACGAGCAGCGTCGCGTTCCAGGCGGAGCTGGAAAGCTTGCTCCGGCGTGTGGTTGCCCAAGAAAAGGGAGTCGCGGTGGGTGAGATCGATGCGAAGAGAGGTTAGGGTTTCCGCACCGTCTGTCCAGGAAAGGAGATCGTCGTCAGGGCGTAGGGATGGGGGAAGCTGAAGCGGCGTGACAACTAAGGAATGGTTCTCCATGCCGGCGGCCAGAATGGCGGGGAGGAGTAGAGAGAACAAAGCTGCGATTGGGGGCATTCTAGCCGCTGCCATGGTGGGCATGACTGCTCGTCGGAGGTGTTCGCGGTAGAGAGAGAGTGTGCAGAGTGGAGAGTGAGAGGGGGCGGAGGCTCATATATAAAGCAGTCGAGGGCAAGGGGTTCTCGGTAATTAAGTTGGGCGGTTTGGGAAAATAAGAGAAAAATAAAGCATGGTGGTAGATCGGTGGGACTTGTAATAAATATTTTGATGACCCAAATGCCCACGCGGTTCACCTTTTATCATTTTTATTTTGGAAGTCTTGAAAGGGTTCACCTTTTATCATTTTTATTTTGGAAGTCTTGTTAAAAGAAAAAAAAAAAATTTATATGCAAGCTCCAAATTAAATATTTGTATTTAATATTTATCATTTAACATGAGTCCTAAGATAATTAGCATGAATCTCCGAATAATTTTTGAATAGAAAAAAAATTAAATATTAATTTAAAATTATTCACAACTCTAATTTCAATAAATTTACAATCAAACAGATCAAACTTTATGATATAAACACAGTGAGACTAATTTTCTTTCAATCCGAGTCTAATCAAGACTGGTCTCTGCAACTCCTAACTCTGGCATTTGGGACCTAAGAATGTTACTGTAGTTTATCACTACAGCCTACATTACCAACTATAGTCTATGTGGTCCATAACTTATGCCACTCCAAACTCTATCCTCTACGGCTTAGAGACATTATTGCATCTTACTATTATGGTCGACGTTGCTTGCAACTCATGCAGCTCGCAAATATGGTCTATATGGCTAAAAGATGTTATCAAAGTTAAACACTAGGGCCTATGTGACAAACTATGACCTATGTGACTTAAAACTCTTGTAGTTCCCCACTACGACTCCTGTGGCTAACCAAAGCTCCTGAAACAACGTCTATGGTCTAAATGACCAACTAATATTATAGAATTTAACTAAGGGCCTGTTTGGTTTGGCTTCTGCTGCGTGGCGCGGCGTGCGACAGCGGCTTTGTCCCGCATTCCAGTGTTTGGTTCGAAGCTTTGTGGTAAATCTTTGGCAAAGCGGATCGATTCGCGGCCGCGATATTAGGCCCGCGTCCCCGCTTTCCTCTGACCTATTGTCCCGCTTACCCCTTTCGTTTCTCTTCAGCCCTAACAACTTCCCTTGCGGCTCTCCTTCGTCGTCTTGCTTCGTAGCCCCCCGATCGACAGATCTGAGGTATAACGAGCAGTTTTCTTCTTCTAATCGCAGATATGAGAGAGCTTATGAGTTTTTT